ATTAAAGTCATACTTCAAATATGACATGATCGGTTTGTCATTGTAATTAGCATTTAGAAATGAACCTTCATTAGAGAAATGAAGTAAATGCTGATTAGTAAATTCTATAATAATCGTTCACACAGTGGATTATGTTGAACAAAGCCTAAACAAATATTGTTTTTGCAACTTCACTCACCATGTAATTGTGTTTGAAGAACTTTATGGGATCATTAGACATATGCACATCAAATTACCAGATATTTTATAGATATTTCAATAATAAGTACAAATTTTGAATACAATTATATGGGCCTTGTTCAGACATTAAACAACGATAGGGCGCTTACGCGCTTCGATATCAGCACAATTACTTTAAACAATTTCAGCAATTTCAAAATATTTCAAATTCTTTTAAAAATTTCACGTTTCTCAGTAATCTAATTTTTTCTGAGTTTTCTAAAAATTTTGAAGCTTTTCTAAAAATTTTAGTTTTTGCTACAGGAAGTTTCAGTAACTTGCTTTAAAGCACGGTGGCAATCTCTAATGTTTTTTACGATAATACTCGTCAATATAAAAAATTAACTACAATTAATTTTTTATGTAATATTGAACATAATCATATTTTAGATAATATAATTATAATTGAATTGAGTGCATAATGCATAATTATCTGGCGCATGAACTACATAATGGGTATCTAATTAACATAAATCTGGATTAACGATGAACGTTTCCTATGACCTTAATAATACCTCGCAGAGCAATTACTATTTTACCATGGTTTTATCTAAATTCTATCACCGAATCAGATTATATCATTGGTCATTCCAGTCAGATTTGAATAAAATATTTTACAATGATGATAAGCGTATTACGATCCACGCTATCCGTTTAATAGTCAACAAATAGCGCAGTTGATACAATTCATCTGCTAGAAAATGAAACAGCTGGTATCAGCATAAATTTTCAAAGAAGTTTTCCAAAATATCTTATTGAACTCACGCTTCAATATCGTTCTCGTTTCGCTTCATAAACGCGCAATTTTCCCGATGGAAAATAGTGATAGTGATATCGTTCTATTTAGCATTAACATGATATGCCTCAGGCGCGCAGCTCAGTTTCTCAGCCAGATTTTCGTTTTTCATTATTTTCTGCACACTAAACGATTTTGCTGCGACAGAAAACACCAAAGATTTGCTGAATATTCTCGTATTTGCTTGGCATACTTTATTTTTAAACTATAGTTATAACCAAACGCAAAATACTTTAATATTCACTCTTTTAATAGTGAGAGCTGCCAAAAGTATATTTGCCAATTTTCAACAACAATGTTCGAATCAAAAACTAAAACGAGATGAATTCAAAAACAAGTTTGTTAAAAAATTATTGAGAAGGTCCACGATATATAAAAAACAAGTAGAGTTACGATTTTTTTAACAACAATATTTGAAAGTAGAGGGCAATAAGTGTAACTAAATAAAAGTGTATCAGGAGATAAATGGAAATGTTTGAATATCCATATAGCGAAAGTATTTTCTTTCGTTGTGAGTTTTTGGTTGTGAGCACTATTGTTTAGTTTACGAAAACTTAATATAGTTTTGAATTATACGTTATTTAATTATTTTATAAGATGTATTATAAATTTTTAGTTAGGTTCAACAGTTCTTTTTATATATCCTCTATAAAAGCTTACAACATGTGGTTGGGAAAAAAGGAGAATTTCAGTCTTTATTCTGACAAAGGTGTACACAATAAAATTAGCAAATAAAGAAGTGAAAGTTCAGTTTACAAGAGACGAGTTAAATGAATGAAGTTATTCCAACTATGCAGACGATTACTTCCGACGAGATAGCAGGTCAAGATTTATACAGTGCCATCTCAGTGTAAAATGTACCCTTGAAATTTATATTTTGCATTGGTTTAATAATGTAGCTATTATTTTGTAAAATCTCTTTAAATTAAGAATAAGACATTCGATCTGTTTGCTTCCTGGCTGTGCCATTCTACTCCACCTATTTTTGAAAAACAGTTTTACTGAACATAGTGAGATTGTTGTGTGTTTGATATGTGTTATTTGTTGTGATATAATTGTTATTATTGTGACATCGACTTTGGTGCCCCGCCTTACCCTCTATTTTTTACGAGATTTATTTTGTTAATTTTAAATAAAAATAAGACAAAATGATGTTATATTATACTATGAAATGGTATAATTGAAACTCCTAAAATATATTGAATTGTAAATATTTATAGAGAAAGATAATATTATATTATACTATGAAATTTGTTGCACAGGTATGAGAAAACACGCAGCATAAACAACTTTTTTGTTGACCAGCGTTATCTTTAGCGTTGCAATAAATAAATTACACACAATGTTATATATTTTTTGCACAAAAATGTATGACTGACATTTTTCGTAAAACTTATTTAATTTTAAATATTTATAAGACAAAATAATAATTATCAAATAAAATAGTTTCAATCATCCAATAGAATGAAAAAAAATAGAAATCCGTTGCACTGGTAATTTAAGGAGAAAACGGCCAGGAAACGACAATATAAGATTTTATTATCACGCAGAAAAACGAATTCTTTTATTATTCACGCAGAATAGATAATTCTGTAGTGTTTTATTTTGCTCCGTTTTTTGCAGTTTGCTCCAATTTAGATTCATGGTTCTGAAGAAAAAAAAATACATTGAAAAACATATTTTGCACACCCAATACATACATTTTTTTTTGTTAAATTGTGTTAAACAAAGCGTGTTGTTATTAACGTTTTCCTAAAGATATTATGAATAAAATATTGCAATATGGGTAAACTTAGTTCTGCAATTTTAAATAATTGTAAGTACGTTGTCAAGAAATGTAGCATTTATTATTATGTACATAACCTACCTTTCATAGTAGCATCAATAAAAGTACAGCACTCACAACGTTTACAACCAATTAAATCACTCTTATGTTACTACTACTTTGTATGGTTCGTATTTTACCTTATCCAATAGGTATAAAAAGTATAATAAAAATAAAACGTAAACATCAATGACGATAATACAAATATTCTTCGTAAAAAACATATTGCATATGCAATGTTTTGAATTAATATAAGTATTATATATATTTAAATAAACATGTTTTTTAAATTTAAATCCATGGAAAACCTATTAGATATTAAATTCGTGCAATGTAAATGTTGGGGTGTTAAACAGCACAAAGAAACGTATTAAAAAAAACACACACACATGAATGGATCGTTATGAGTCGAATCCAATACTCTTATTTGATTACACATAAAGTTTAAAAATAATTGCCAGGATCAGCACGATAGATATACAAGTGCGTTATAAACATATATATATATATATATATACCCCCTAAACAATTTTACATTGCCGTTAGATTGCAGTTATATAACATCTGTTACCTGTTACATTGCGGCAACCTTATCAAATGCATTGCCTGAAGGTAACTATTTCCGCATCAAGTGCGTTACATTGTGAAGTTGCGGTAACTTACGGTAACATACAAATGCAATATAGATATGCGTTACATTGTGAAGTTGCGGTAACTTACGGTAATGTACCTATGCGATATGAATCAGCACTTTTTGCAATGCTTTTAATTTATGCGAAACTAAGTGATTTTCTATAAAAAAAAAGATTTACTCATATTTCATTGTATTTATTATTTAAAATTAATATTTTACAATAAACAAAGTAGCAACAAATATTTTATACTAAATAGAACAGTAACAAATATTTCAAAGTAAACAAAATAGCAACAAATATTTTATAACAAACAAATAGCAACAAATATTTTGAACTAAACAAAACAGTAATAAGTATTTTATAACAAACCAATAGCAACAAATATTTGTTGCTATTGTTTGTTATAAAATATTTTGTACTAAACAAAACAGTTTTTATAACAAACAAATAGCAACAAATATTTTGAACTAAACAAAACAGTAATAAGTATTATATAACAAACAAATAGCAACAAATATTTGTTGCTATTGTTTGTTATAAAATATTTTGTACTAAACAAAACAGTAACAAATATTTTATAACAAACAAATAGCAACAAATATTTTTAACTAAACAAAACAGTAATAAGTATTTTATAACAAACAAATAGCAACAAATATCTGTTGCTATTGTTTGTTATAAAATATTTTGTACTAAACAAAACAGTTTTTATAACAAACAAATATTTTGAACTAAACAAAACAGTAATAAGTATTTTATAACAAACAAATAGCAACAAATATTTGTTGCTATTGCTTGTTATAAAATATTTTGTACTAAACAAAACAGTAACAAATATTTTATAACAAACAAATAGCAACAAATATTTTGAACTAAACAAAACAGTAACAAATATTTTATAACAAACAAATAGCAACAAATATTTTATACTAAACAGAACAGTAACAAATATTTATAAAGCAATAACAAACCTCATTACAAGACAGTAATAAAAAAAACAATATAATAAACAATACAGCAACAAATATTTTAGACGATACATAAAATTTATATCAATTACATTTATTTTTCGTTATATACACAATGAAAAACAAAATAGTAACCTATTAAACGAAAAAAATAACATAATAAACTAGAATATTTTAAATGTTAAAAATAACAGTATTAAATATGTTATAATAAACAGTAACAAATATTTTTCGAAAACAATAACAAAAATATAAAATTTATATTCATTACAATTATTAATTTCATATTTTCAAATGAAACACAAATTAAATATAAAACTATTTTTAAATGATATTAATTAATAAAAGATGGAAATAAAAATATCTAGTTTTGGTCCAACTATTAAAGCTAATCAAGCTATCTCGACACACCAATATACAGAAACTTTATCACATAATTCCAAATTAGGATGACAATTTTCAAATACAATTATATTTTTTTGCAGACAAACAATACAACTAATAGAATTATAGTTGAGCATTATTAAGCTTTGATAATTTTTTTTATCGAGATACTTCCAACATCTTCATTCTCAATATTCACAATTTGTCTTAATTCCATTGTAGCCCATTCAGTATGTATTATTCCACCTTAAAAACAAATAAGAAAGGTTAAAACAGAATGTATAATAGTAATTAGTTAACAAGAACTATGATATATACCTTTCATTTATTCCTTGTTTTGCTGTTAAAAGCCTCTCGATATTCTTTCATATTAATCACATATGTTATTCGAGGCAATTTAGGATTCAAACCGAGACTTAGAATCCAATCCTAAAAATAAATTATTACAATAATAAAATATAAACCTCAAAAGCCATTAGAAATTTAAACAGTTATTTACCTTTAGTATCTTGTAGCATTGTCGAAAACTAAATTTTCATATCCAAATAATAAGCTCTAGTTTTTTTGAGACATCTCCAAACGCGGGCCTTATAATAATAATTAGGCTTTTAGCACAGTAACCAACAAATAAATTATACTTACCCTTCATAATATTATATATCAAACAGCACTTCTTAAAATTCATTTTGAGGTTATTTCTTATACTCTTTCGATTTCGACGTAGCTGAACAAATAACACATAAGCAGATATGTAAAGTTTACGCCATATATACTATATATTTTTGCATTTTTATTTATACACGTAGAACTCAATATTACAAAATATTTAAAATAAAACAAGACAAAACAACTCAACAAAACAACCCCGCATATGACACAGTATAAAATGGCGTTCAGGCGACAGGCTGCAATGCAATGCACTCTGGGAAACCTGACGCCTGAGTCTGAGTCCCTCTGCCGAAAAAGGAAGACAACCGTTAAACGTTTAAAACGTTTAATCGAATTCAAAAATTTTAATATACTTTTTGAAATTTTTGTAAAAACTTCTAAGTTTTTAAATTTTTTGAAAAAATTAGTTTGTTTTAAGAAATTGAATAAGTTAAAATTCTGTTTTTGTAAAAGAAATGCAATTTATTTCATTTAAAATTTTAAAATTTTTACTGTAACTTCCCGTAGTAAGTTATAGTAGTCGCAAAAAAATCGAGAATGAAAATTTTATCGACGATTTCGGGAACAACATTCGATTCGTATTGATAAAGAGGCGTGCTGATTAGTGTTTGGCAGAGGCAGGTCTAGCCGTTCCGAAGATACGGGGCAAAAAGTTCCAAAATCGGTAACCCAGTTTTTAAGAGAACGGAGCGTCCGAATTTAATAATTCAAAAACCATTATTAAATTTTTGGGAAGGCAGCTCTAGCGGTTACAGAGATCTAGTAAAAAAAATAAAAAAAAAATTCCATTAGGCGGTCGTGCATGATTATTATCAGATATTTTATTTATTTATTTATTTATTTATTTATTATACGCCAATCGGCTATGGAGATTTCAATAATATGTATCAATTTTGTTTACGTTTGCGTAACGTTTTTATGGGTTCCGTAAAATCATCTCATCAAAAACATTTTTCTTCAAAAGTTTTGATGAATATTGATATATATATATATATATATATATATATATATATATATATATATATCCGTGCTCTATAACTGATACTACAGAATTTAAAAATTAGATCAATCGATTTTTCATTAAAAAAGTTGTGAAAAATATTTTCTAACAAAACATTGCACATTTATTACATTAGGTAACAAATGTATATAACTTTGTAACTCCCGATATACATTGCGCGTATATTGCACTTAGTTAACATTTGTTATGTAACTTTGCAACTATCGAAAAACATTGCGCGTACATTACACTTAGTTAACATTTGTTATATAACTTTGCAACTATCGATATACATTGCACGTACATTACACTTAGTTAACATTTGTTATATAACTTTGCAACTAAAAGTTACATTGCGCGTACATTACACTTAGTTAACATTTGTTATATAACTTTGCAACTAAAAGTTACATTGCGCTTATATTACATTTAGTTAACATTTGTTATATAACTTTGTAACTAACAAGTTTCATTACGGCAACATGTAGTGTTTACTGGGTATATATATGAAATTACATGAAGTTTGAAAATCAAATCCCGGATCAGCGTAATCCTACGTCGTGTTCATTAATGACATCATGCGAGGTGTTTAAAAAGTTTTAATAAATATTTAGAAGTGTGTAATTGACACACTTAAATATCTAATTAACTGAAAATGTTTTGGATAATTGCAGACTGCCTGTCAAGCAATTAAAAAAATTAGGTAAATACTTACAGAGCATAAAAATTTTCACTGAGTAATACTTTATGTATGACGATGATGAAGGTAGTTATTGAAAAATATTAAGTTAAAAAAATCTAATAGAGTATTAATAATTTCTTAAGTATAAAGACCGTGGTACGCGGTGACAAACAGGTGATTAAAATAATTATTAAAAATGCATCTTCTGCAAAAGTGGTTGTCATTTTTATTGGATTTTCTCCTCCCAAAAATGAGAAGCTTTGTTCTCGGAGTCTTGGCATCATATTTAGAATATAATAGAAAACGATTATTTGTTTATTTTTAACATTCATATCAAAGAGCCTTTAAAAGCTTTAATCTATTACAAGAGATTGCTAGTACTTATAATTATTGTTATAATCATTGATTACAAAATAAAAGCTACCCAAATAATCAAGAATCATACTTAACTTTCAATATAATTTTTATCTAAGTTATTCCGTAAAAGGTTATTGCAAATTTGTAAGTTCTGTGGTGTTTTAAATTGTAGGTTAAAAAATAAGTTAATAAACTAATTATTTCAATAAAATATAATCTTTTTCATATGTTACAAAGCGTGATAAAATATGCTATATATTTTATTGTATTCAATAATACTTTTTATGTTTTAAGTAACATGTTTCAAAAAAACTTACTTCAAAATAATACTTAAATAAAATTCAAAATAATAATTTATAACTAACACACTTTAGTGTCTAAAATCATCATGCCAAAGATTTTACTATGTACATCTTATTTAACCCATTTTTATAAATATCTTATCAATTGCACAATCAGTGTTAAAAAGCTCTACAAATTTAATAATTAAAATTTAGAATTTGAATATACACAAGACAATTAAAAAAATATGCCTTTTAATTATTATATTCAAAGTTTCACGTTTATCTTTAACGTAAATTAACAACAAAAAACCTATTTTTTAGATACAGAAATATCAAAAAAGTTCTATAAAAGATTAAGTATAATGGCCTTGTTGTTCAGATCTACAAAATGAAGTTAAAGAATTTTGTGAAATATTTATGTTCAATAATGTGAAGCATAACACCTGAGGTTAGTTGAAGCAATATCTTGGGGCTAGTTGTGGCATGCAAGAATTAAATAGAATTTAAGTAAATATGATTGATTAGGTGAAATTAGTTGAGTGTAAGAAGGCGATGGCACACGTAAATTATTTTATAAGAGACACTGTATGATTGATTTGTATTAAATATAGGTTACGTTGATTTATTTAGACTTTGAAACCAGTCATTTTTAATAAGTGAAGAATTATTTATCAGATGTATCATTGCTGTTTGTTAGTGAAGAATTAATATCAGATGTATTATTGCCTTTTGTTAGTCGTTACTACTTGTCCCGGTAGGAGTTTGTTTCTAGAAAATGACTAATGGTGAAATAGTAAACAACAGTTATATTATTTTAACTTGATTTGGTGGAGGAATAGTAACAGCATCTGACCCTTATCTTTATTTCATTGAAATATATTCAGTTGATGTCAAGATCAATTAATTAAAAACAATTTTACAACAAGCACCAATCTTTCCTAATTCTTAAAGTTACACTGGACGATCTCCCGTGAACAATAATAAGTAATATTTAGCATCTAGTATCAGCAAGTAATATTGTAATTATTATTGTTATTAGTTAATATTAAAAACATAAATTACTATTTTATCAAGATTATTCGATACTCAAAAATGTCAAATCGTAAATTAAAAAAATTGTCCAAGAGCGTGTCAAATAAAATCATCAACAACAGAACAAAACGAAACGTCATACAATCTTATTAATGACAACCTTTCATGTTCTAATTATCATTTTATTTCACATCCGTCGCTGGCACTGAATATAATTACGTTTACGGCTGGTAATTAATTATAATCCGGCATCTGAAAAATAATTCCAAGCAATAATTCAATGTTGGCGAATAAGATGAAGTGGCGCAAAAAATAATAGCCATGGATCAGCCTTAAGGGATCAAATTCCGAGCGTAGAGATCCCAAGGTGATGTATAATGACAAATCGGTTAGTAGAGGTCATGTCCTGCCACTACAATAAGAAATGTTAAGGGACGATGAGTCGTCTTCAAGACAATAATAATCTAACCTTCTCCAAGCGAATATCGCATAAAGCTAAGTAGTTAATCCTCAGTCACTTCCTTGAAATATGTCATCTACATTTTTGACATTGGACTTATACGTTATATTTATTGCAGGTGAGGTTTTGTTAATCTTCTTATTATTTTAATATCTTTCGCTAAAAGCGCATTATTTTATCCCATATGTATATTTACCGGATTTCTATAAGCGTGTCAACAAATGTAATACTTTGTTCTCGGAGTCTCGGTACATCTGCAACCTATTTGGAATAGTGTAGGTGCGAGGCACTAAAGTCCAATTTGATTTTAAGTAATTATACTATTTAAACCTCAGCACACTTTGTACGTATCAAACTAAAAAATACGTTATCGTACTTTGTTCAGTAAAATTCCTTGAAATATGCCCTCTACATTTTTTAGATTGGACTTATACGTTATATTTATTGCAGTTGAGGGTTTAATACTTATTATTTATTATTTTTTGCCAAACGCGTTATATTTTATGCTATATATTTATCAGATTTTCATAAACACATCGAAGAATTAAACACACGTATAAAAGAATCAATTATCCTACTATCTTCAGTAAAATTCCCAGTTAATTCAACTCTATTCTTATTAATTACTCATTTACCAGAGTAAAGGTTTAGTTGGTCTTTTTAGCACACCCAAATGCTATTATGAAAGTTATATATATAAACATTAGTTCAGTTTAATATAAATTACCAATGTATCTTATGAAACAATTAAAAAACTTATACTTAAAAATTATATTAGGACCAACAGTGCTGCTCACAAATGAAAAAAACAAACAACGAAAAAAAAATGTTATAGATTTTCAATTGCTAATTGATTTTATCCTATGTCTGATTGCACTTTTCCTCTACTTTGAAATATTGTTAAAAGTTTTATTTGTTTTTGCGATGTTGGTGTAGGATCTTTTTACCCACGGACCTTAGTATAAAACGAATATTTGTATCTCTTAATGTAAGCACCAAATACACTTCTTTGTCTATAAGAAAAGAGGTAATATTTATGAAAATCGTTGTAATGATTTTTATTGAACTATATATTTACAAAAAATAAATATTCAGAATTTAAGAAGTTAATCTTACAATATTTTATTATTAACTAATAAAGCTAAATATGAAACATATAATATTCAAAATAAAAATAAGTGGCATTCGATAAAAAAATGGGGAACATCGGGAAATATTAAAGTAACATAAAATTATATCCATTTCTTTTGCATTTTTGTTGATGAAACATCCATTTAGGAAAAAATCATTAACTAAAATAGTTTTTGAGGTTTGCGAAAAAAACCT